TCGAAAGTGAAGCACTTTAATAATTATAAAAGTAGCTTTCTTCTTTCTCTTCCTTTTTTTTTTTCTTCCTTTTTTTTAAACCCCAATTTGTCTATATTTTATTTATTTATTTTCTTTTTTATAAGGGGATGATAATTGAACACTGTACATATATAAGCAACTCCATTGTATTATATTAAATTCATGTTGGATAATTCCTTTGCTTCTAGAAGATTAGTTACCAAACCAAGTTGGTTTTCATTATTATTCAAACGCGCATCGAAAGATGTCTTAAATTCGAAAAAAGTACAATTCTTTTGTACACTTTATACATTTTAGTATAGTAAATTATTGGCGGACTACTTTGTTAGGTTAGTTCTTTTACCAATAAACTTATCCAAAATTTAAATACCTAGCCACAAATACATGATTATGAAATTTCTACGATAAATTGCATTCATATATAATTCAAATAGACTATCAATTATAAGAATGAATATAAATATAAATAATCACATAGAATTAATACAAATACGAAAGCACATGGTAACCATACAGAGTGTGGAGTCCACATTTCCCACAACATCATTTAGTGGACAAATAGATGGATTGTATGATACGAGGTCTAACTTTGCACAAAATATATATTGGGGTTAAATATGCAATAAACCCTAAATTTATGACATGAGGTCTATATATGAAATTGTTGACAAACTTGAGGGGTTAAAATCCAATAAACCTTAATTGTTTTACTGTAAAATAAAAATATATTACAGTAGGGAAGGCTCGTGTGCGAAAATGCTAGTATTTCTTGATGGGAAATAATTATCGTAAAATATAATAAATATATAATTATTTAATATAGGGACATAATGTAATATTTTTAAATATAGTCCCGTTATTATACGCATTTATATTTTTTAAATATAGTGCCAATAATGTACTTTGCTTCAATTTTATTGTTATTATAAAATAATATATTTTCTTATACGGCTTCTCTCCCTAAGCTTATCTCTATCGGTTGAAAAGTTGATTAGAAAACCTACAAAAGCTTTATTAGTGTTGATTTATACATTACTACAAGTCTACTGATGTATGTACTAAAACAACCATAATAAAAAGAAACTTAATTATGTAAAATGTTTCAATGACCTAATTAGGATCTAATTTTTTTTTTTTTTTGGGTGAAAAAAATTTAGAGGGAGGGAAGACTACCCCATTCCAGGAACATGACATACCGAGGCCTCTTTGACAACTTACAAAAGGAGCCTAATTATTTTGAAAGCTCTGTATTATCATTTTTTAAATCTAAGCTAACTCTGTTTGTAGCGAAATGTTTGCTAGCATAATTAGTAAAAAATGGGATGTGTATAATATGTATAAAATACATATGTATATTATTTGTTAAAGTTCTCAAAAATATATGGTGAAAAATCCGGTCATTTTATAAAAATTTATAATTATTTATTTGTAGTCTTCTTTTCAATAGTACGTGAAAAAATATGGATACAATACACAAATAATACGTGTATTATTGCAAGATGGTCGAAAAAATATATATTTATTCAAGAAAAATAAGTATTTACATATATAATACGTAAATGATATATTTTTATTGTAGAAATGCATATTTTTCCATATAATTAAGTAGTGTAAGGAAAACTGAAATATTTAAAAAAAATTATGTACGTACGCATATAATATTCGAATTGTGTTTTGTATTCAAAGGTACCTAACGATTCACTTTCTTCTTCGCTACAATCCACCACCAAAAGGGTTGATTAAATTAATTTCATTACTCTGAAATTCTCTTCACTTTGCTCGAGATCTTGTATGCCCGTTTCTAACATTAGATCATTTTGTGGTTGGTAGCTTGAACTTCCTTCTTTCTTCCACCATTTTTATTGCCGTTATCAAAGAAAGGTTAACTGTCAAAATCCAGAGAGTTTGCTTGAAAGAAAAACCTAGGCATACTCAGAAAATTAATTTGGTAAAAAAGCTACCCTCTCATTTGTAGAAAAGGTAGATGCTCTCTCATCTCGACAATGAAATTGCACTTTTTTTTTAGTGTTCTAAAACTATATGAAAGAGTTAAAAGTATGTAATGCCAAAACTAAATAAATAAATAAAATATTCCAACAATAATAATCAATGAACTAAACCAGCCATTTTTACTTTTAAGATTTCACTAATAAACTCATTTTAACATGACATAACATACAGAAGCCGTAATTGGGCCTATTTGGAGTGAAAACCCCAAAACTAACTACTTGTTATTTTTCAATTGGTTTTTATAAAATTTTAACATAGTAAGAACCAATTAGAAAATAACAAGTGGCTAGTTTTGGGTTTCTCTCTCTAAATAGACTCTACATGAGTTTTTGTATAATATATATATGTCCCGTTAAAATGGATATCTCATGTCTTTCTTATGAGTGGCACATCACGCAAAATTGACAGACATAAACAGGGTTACATGAGTAACTTGATTTTTATGAATTTAGTTGCAACATCGATCTGTCAACCAATTAATTTAGTTACAATATCAATATGTGAACCAATTTAGTTGCAATATCAATATCACTGTTTTTTTTTTCCTTTTCTAGAAAGATCAATATCAATATTACTTTGGTTTAAGGGTTTTCCTTTTGCCAAAAATGAGTAAGCAGCGTTTATGATTAAACCCACACTCCACGAAATATGTACACTATCAATTTGAGTGAAACGTGGGACAAACTTGAGGAATTTTTTTATTTATAAAAATCGACTTTTGTTGAGAATATTATTCAAAATGGTGCAACATAGCTATACTTGTCATAGTTATGAAATTCAAATGTAGACAATAATGGTCAACACAGCATTCTCAAACTAGTATTCGGATGCCAGCAGTTTTCTCATCCTCTTGTTTTTGTCCAAGAATTTGCAGATGGTTTTGTTGAGTACATTTTATTTGAAGTATATCACAAGTTCTTCTACCAGACATAAACCAATGTGCGCATTTTTTTATTTTTATTTTTAAAGAAATGTGTCCAGTTTTATTTTCATTTTTAAAGACATGCCGCACTTTCATGTAGAAAAAATAGTTGAGATTAGCTTCAACAGGAATGTTAAATTCTGCGTGGAATATATGGATTAAGTTAGTTGGTCAGGGCAGTGAGTTTGCCTCTTGCACCAAAGTTTGAGTCTCATCAGTACATTAGATTAATTTAAAATAATTTACACTATTATTTGTATTTTAAATAAATAAATAAAATATCGTACTTGAAGATAAAAGAAGAGGAAAGTGTTGAGTAGTAGTTAAAGGGGAAGCATCGGTCGGTCTAAATTTTCTTTCTAGAAGTATGGTATGGGGCATTGATAAAATAGTTGAGATTAGGTTCAACCGGAATGTTAAATTCTGCGTGGAATATATGGATTAAGTTAGTTAGTCAGGGCAGTGAGTTTGCCTCTTGCACCAAAGTTTGAATCTCATCAGTAAATTAGATTAATTTAAAATAATTTACACTATTATTTGTATTTAAAAAAAATAAATATAATATCGTACTTAAAGATAAAAGAAAAGGAAAGTGTTGAGTAGTAGTTAAAGGGGAAGCATCGGTCGGTCTAAATTTTCTTTCTAGAAGTATGGTATGGGGCATTGATTTCTCCCAAAGTTTATTATTTATTATTCCACTTTATACAACTTCAAGGAACTTTCGGTCTCCAAGAAAATCCGTAGTATGTTGTGTTAAAAGTTGAAAACATCTAGACTCTAGAATTTCTGCTGTCACGTTGATTAGTATTCTAATTTCCTCCCTAATTTATTGTTTTTTTTTATAATTAATTAGGGATGTGTTTGTCATAATGACTGGGTACTCTGAAGATTAAGAACTTCTAGATTATCCTAGATTGATTTTGGATGTAATCGAAGTAAAACAAAGCACTTTGAATCTCGAATATGTAATCATACAATCCAAATATTTCCACCATTATCATGTGAAAATCAAGTCAAGTAAAAATACAAGAAATCCCACAACACAACAAATACGAAAATACAATACTTTCTTGTTTTGTTTGTAATTCTTTGTTGGTATTAGTTTTCTTTTTGTAATTTCTTTTTTTGAATATAAGCAGAGTTTTTCTTTTTTGGGTAGATACAAGTGATAGTCTAAACTACTAGGGTAATCAACACATACACACACAACCAAAGTGTCATGAGAGGTCAAACCTGAGCCCATTGGCTGGCAAGTTAATGCCCCTTTATACTGGGCGAGAACTCATTAACCAAATTCTTTTTGTAATTTATAATTTCTTTCTACTAGGGTAATCAACACATACACACACAACCAAAATGTCATGAGAGGTCAAACCTGAGCCCATTGGCTGGCAAGTTAATGCCCCTTTATACTGGGCGAGAACTCATTAACCAAATTCTTTTTGTAATTTATAATTTCTTTAAACAATGGGTCCAAATTCGAATAAACTCCACTTGAACAAACAAACAATAAAACAAGTTTAGCAATGGGAAAATGATGTTTGATGATATTCAGCTGTGACGTTTAAAAAGTCTTTAAAAGTTTAATGATTTTTAAAAAGTTTATTAAATGAATGATTTTTGTATATTTTTAGGGCTAATTGTTAATAACAAAAGTCTTGCTAATTTACTAGGGACTTTCATCAAGTCTATGAAAATATTTAAGAATTTGTCAACTTTATAAAAGTCACTCACTTATAAAAAGTCTTTATAAGCACGGATTAGATATACCCTCTTAACTTTAGAGGTGATTAATGTTGGAAATTTCTTAGAAAACATGTATGATAACTATTTTAGAGTGAAAAAAGGAAAAAAAACAGCCCCATGAGAAAATACAAACAATCAAACAAAATTTTTATTATTAATTATTAAAAAAAGCAAAGAAATGATCTTGCAAAGAAAATTAAAGAAAAAAGAAAATAGTGCAATGATGGCTGCCACGTATACGAGAGAGAGAGAGAGAGAGGGCGGTATCAAAATGATCAAATCTGAAGAACCGTGCGTGAAGAGCAAAGTGGCTCATGGCTTTATCATTAATCTAATAATCTATTCCCGAAGACGTAATATGTTTTGTCTCTATATATACTCCCACACCCATGCCTCTTTCCTCTCATCTTTCTCATTCGTCTCAATACCCACCAACGCTCCTTTCTTCTCTCTGATTCTCTCTGTTCCGCCATTGAAGCTCTGTTACCAAAGCTCTTAATTACGCACTCACAGCTTTCATACACAAAGAATAGCCAAAACCCACTCCTCAAATACTCCTGGTATGCACTTGTCTCTCTTTGCTTCATATCCTTATGCATCTGTCTGTTCATTCTCATGTATGTGGGTCTTGTTCTTTGAATGGTTTCTCTTCTTGGGTAGCAAAGTTTGTTTCTTTTCGAGTTGCTCGTATATGAGAATCTTGGGTTAGATTCTTAGAAATCGAAGAGGTTCTTGCCTAACTTGCATAAAACATTCTGCTGGTTTTGGTTTGGTGGCTCCCCTGAAGTATGAACTTGTGTTTCTCTGTTCAAGATGGGTCCCCTGCATATTAAATTTTAGGGAAAGTTATAAATACCCACCATGGTGATGGTTTGTGGTGTAGCTGGTTACATGCTCTGAAATTTCCTGGGAATCTGATTCTCGGATTTTGTTTCCCTAATTTAATGGAGATCCATGAAATCTGCTGCAAATTTCCAATAACTACTAGAAATTAATTAGGAACACAAGGAGAAGTTGTTTCCCTAAAAAAAAAAGTGTCTTTTCAGGTCAACCACAACCATTGAAATATTGTTATTCTTGGCCTTTCTGTGGATTTTCTCTACAGAAGAGGCTCTCTGGTTGTCAATTTGATGTTAGGTTAAGTCCATGGTTTCCAACTTGATGTGTTTATTGGTGATGGTTTGGAAGAAATAATACTTCTGTTAGGTTTCCCATAAATAGCTGGTTGGAAGTTGAGCACAGATTTCTTGCAATTGATCAAATTTGTTTTTGCCTAATTCTCACCTAATCCAAGTTCTGTCAAGCTTACCTATGTATTTTTAATGTTTTGTCTTCTTGAAATTCTGAGATCACATATTTAATAATCAAGCATCTTGAAGAGATTGAAATTATTAATCTTTAATTTAAAATGTTTATCTTGTTTAAGTCTTTCTAGAAGGACTGCATACAATAGATAAATCTACTCAATCTGATCTATCATATGCTCTTTGGTTTAACTTTTCTCTAGTCATCTGATTATTTATAAAATGATGGAATTATTTTAATTATTATTTTTTTTAAAAAACATTTGGGTCCAATGATCTTTTAATCGTGTAATTTTGATGCTTTCTTGTTGCCAAGATGTATCTTTCTGTAGCCTTTTTCATTGATATCATTAAACTTCATTAAAGGCTTGTTTTTAGACCATATTTTAACGTTCTTATTTTTCCATGTCTCAGATTTCGGCAGCTAAGAAATACCACTTTCTCGATCAGTTAAGATGGCCCTAGAGCAGCACTTTCCAGAGGCTATGATTCAAAATGACTCCATTGGACAAGATAAATGTTCCTTAGAAAAATGGAACTCTGTTTCTGATGAAGTCACAGACTCTGAAAACAAATCCTGTGGTAACTTCGACTGCAGCATATGCTTAGACTCTGTGCACGAACCAGTAGTCACCCTCTGCGGCCACCTCTTCTGCTGGCCTTGCATATACAAGTGGCTTCAGTTCCAGAGCCCGTCTTCGGAATACCAAGATGAGCAAAAACAGCCGCAGTGCCCTGTATGCAAAGCTGAAGTCAATGAATCTTCTCTAGTCCCACTCTACGGTCGGGGCCAAACGACAAAGCCTACAAAGCCCTCCAAAGGCAAGGCTTCCCATCTTGGTATAGTCATTCCGCGAAGGCCTTTTCGTCCTTGCGGGGTTGACACACCACGAACAGCCGGTACCCCCACCAGTCCATACGTTACTCCTCAACTCCATCATCGGAGTTCTCCCTACAGTTCACAACTAAACACTCCACAACAAGGCAGTAACACTGCTTTACCGATGCAAAGCCCTGTTGGCACCACCACAATGAATCCAGTAGTTGGAATGTTCGGCGAAATGGTATACGCAAGGGTCTTTGGTAACTCAATGACAAACTTATACACTTATTCAAATTCGTACAATCTTGCCGGGAGCGGTAGTCCAAGGGTTAGAAGGCATGTAATGCAGGCTGATAGGTCGCTCAGCAGAATATGTTTTTTCCTCTTCTGTTGCTTTATGTTGTGCCTTCTTTTGTTCTGAGCACAATTGTAGCTCCATCCCCTACTCATTGTATACCTGTAAAATTGAGTATAAGAAATATGAAAGGCGCGCGGATTCAACCAGAGGAGTTGCCAATTTTATGTTAGCGGTTGAATGTACTGTGCTTCAAGATGTGTTTTGATCTTGGTAAAAGCCATTGCATAAATTTTCAGCATGTATAGGATCGGAAAGGCTATAATGAAGGGTTTCCAATTTAAGAAATCAAAGGATTCTCTGCAATACAGAATTCC